GAAATAATTAATTTTTTACTATAGCATTAGACTATTTATGGATGCTCAAGTGCTCTTACAGCAGCCAATTGCTTCTCCACGTCTCTGGATATCGTGAATGAAAAATAAATCTCTTCTTTTCTATTACTTTTGACGTGTATATAAGAATTGCAGTGTCAGCAAACATTTATTCAAACCAATATATCTTTTCGTATTCCATTCTCAACTCAAAGTAGAAAGATGAGCAGCATCAATGCGGTGATGTATTTTATGCTTATTATGACATTCTTGGCATTGTATTGCGATGCACGAGTAAAGGAAGAGTTCAGCCAATCTGTTAAGAAACGTAATTGTATTCCTATTGGTGATCTTTGTAATGATGCTGCGGATTGTTGTGGTAATGATGATCCTCATATTCGTCATTGTGTTTATTGTCGTGCGAGTTGGCCTTTTGGTCGTCAATGGCGTTGTATCTGTAGTTCTGGTGGTGGTGTTACTACTACTGAAGATGGTGCTATTAATAGCGATCGTTGTGCTGGTTATGATCGTCGTCTCAAGCGTTGTAGTGTCAGTGTTGCTCGTCCTGGTACTTATTGGGCTCGTGGCAATCATACTTTTCCCAAAAAAAAACAATGATGCTGCGTAAGTATAGGGTTTCAATTATAAATCTTTGCCAGAATTTTCTGATGTTTTTCTACGATTCCTATATTTATTTTTAGTTTTATGTTATTTTTTTTATGATCTCGACTGACTTTTCTTTTCTAGGTAATAATATGGCACAAAGCAACTCTATACTAAGAACCAAACATGGTTATCAGCCTCTCATATTTTCATCTGTTTGTTTCTCGTTATCTTTCCTGTCTTTTTTTTCACTCTTTTCAATTCTAATAGAAAATACACGCTGGAAAATATATTCTATTTAATTTTTTGCAAAAAGTACTGAATATTTATACCAATCATGAATATCTTATCCTTGTTTTCATAAACTCAAAATCATATATTCAGTCGTTTACAGCTTTGATTGAGAGCAAGAGTATGAATTTGGAGAATATTGCTCTGATAGAATTCGAAGAGCTTTGAAGTACAAAAGATATTTCGACCTTTTGATGACGTGAGAATCTTATTAGATACCAGATTATTCTGGATCGACATTTATTTCGCAATCCAAAGATAATGAAGCAGCAAATCAGGGTGAACTGAAATGTGAGTATATTGTCTTTATGGTGCAGAACGAGAAGAGTAGAAATGTTCACGATAGAGAAGCAAGTGGAAATAGTGTCGGTGTGGGTGCATGTGTCCGTTTACGTACACCTGAACCAAATCCTTAGCCACACACCCACCCACACCCTTCACAACATAATCTTGGATCATCTAACTTTCATCTACATAAGTTCAGAGTCCAACAATCAAAGTAAAGTTTTCTTTGCTAAAAATTCGACACAACCTTTCTTTTCAATCCCTAATCTTTTCTGTTTACAAATGGAATCCAATGAAATTTTTCAATTTTATTTTGAAATATATGTAAGCACAATATGTGGAATTCTTTGTGCGAATACTTCTCGTTTTGAGGTACGAGATATTTCAGCCAAGTGCTGGCAATAATACTTGACATAGATATTGATTCTCAGCAGCACTCGTTCGATCAGGAACTTCTGTTGTGGTGTTCAGTATCGGTAGGTTCTGTAAGAAAGAAAAAGTCGCGACTTTTTTTGTCGTACATCGTTGATTTTTTACCTTAGCGGCGACAAGACTTCTTATCAAATCACGAATTAAATATTCCTGAATCACGAGTACACGAGGATAAATTGTTAATAGGTAAATAATTAAATTCTAGAGAGTTAATGTGAATAACAAAAAGAATTATCTCGAAAATGTATGTTATAATGGATTATAATCATTTATGAGTTGATTATTTGCACACGTAAAAGGTTGTCGAATACTGTATGATGATCCACTGGAGGCATGTCTCGCATTGTGCTTCTACACAGTCATTTTTAATTGAAAAGAGCTATTTTGCATCATTTTCTAATCGAAGTGTCTTGTGTGCGGAAACGGTCTGTTGAAGAAGGACAAACCATCAATTACCTCTATTCATTAAATTGCTTATGACTTAAGGGTGTGGATGTGGGTGTGGGGTGTGGGGTGTGGGTGTGTGGGTGTGGGTGAGGGACGTGAGTGTGAGTGTGGGGTGTGGGTGTGAGTATGTCTCTTCTATTTATCCACACCCCCACCGACACCGACACCGACACCCACACCCACACCCATACCCAAACGAGATGCACATCGCGTCACCTTGGATGATCTATTGCAGTTCTTGTCCCACTAATGTAACACAGTTCANAAAACTAAGAACGGTACATCTCTTCAAAAAGAAATCGACTTTCATTTACATGAAATTTATCCTGATTTATCGCTACTATTACACACAGCTATTTTCATTCGATGTTTACCATTACTTGAAGATCAACAGACAGTTAAGAAATGTCTACAGAGTCTTCAAAATAAGTTTACCAATGCTGAACAACAAGACCAGTGTGTGGTCTATGAAGCATTGTTTCCTTATCTGCAATCAAATTTCGCTTTTTCTTCAGTTCTAAAACACATATCAAACAGTCGTCTCAAGTATAATAGAACAATCAATAATAAATCATCTATCCTTATAGAATGTTTTAATGATAATTTCAAAAAAAGCTTATCAAGTTCTCTACTTGTTTCCAATCTTTATCTTGCCGAATTAGCTAGTGACTTTCAAAAAACTATTACAATATATGATCTTTCTTTGACCGTACTGCATTCTAATTTGCATACAATTGATAATCCAATTACATCTAGTCTGTTTCAATTTGAAGGCCCTATTTTAACAGTCATGCAAGTTTTCACTATTACAAATATTATTATCTCTAGTTATTCAATGAAACGATCAATACAATCAGAAAAGCTTTATGCTGTTTTAAACAATGCATTACATTATTTTGATTGTGTTGAATTTAAAGCCTGTCGTTTGTTACAATCTTGGATGAAATGGAAAAATTCAAATAAGCTCTCACCATTTGCTTGGCATGCTGCACTTATTCTGGTTAATGCTGATTTATGGTCTGTTGAAGCAACTATAATTGTGTGTGATCTATTGCGTAATGAAAATGATCGCTTTCGTCAGAGAGCTGAAATCATTTTGCGATCACAAAGCAATGATGACATTCGAACAAGTTCAAAGTTGGGTATCGATGTTTTACTAGCTTTAGTGATAAAAAAAGCTCATTATCAATACACTTCACCATTTGCCAGTCTTACTATATACCGAATGTTTGACAACCTAACACTAGACATTCAATCTCACTTAGAAACTATTCTTTGGCTAGAAAGGTACAGAATTCATGCATTGACAAATAAAGATTTGTCTTTAATCAACCAAAAATTGTCATCTATCTCCCATGTAGCTTCGTATTTTTCAATTGATATTACGATAGATGTGTCTTTCTGTGATGGCATAAGTAGAATGTCGAACAATTTAATACATCATATGTGTAACTTGATCACATCCAATTTTTCATCTTTCGTGGATATTGGTGGTGATACAACGTCGAGTGGAGTTTTGGAAAGCCATTCTCAATTTATTGTTTCAGTGCTTATATATTTAATTTCTTTCGTTAAATACAATGATGTAGTACGACCATTGATGATCGATTCATTGACGATATTGTTTGAAACATCAAGAAAGAATGAAATTCGTCGAATGGCAGCGTATGCTCTAGGCTGTGTTTGTAACAAAGACACGTATAAAATTCTATTTGGCAAACTCCAGACAGCGGAGGGCAATCAAACAAATAAAACGTTTGATGAATCTGATGATTCTCTTAGCTTATTGATTTCAAGTTATTGCCATTGTATATCAGTTAACAATAACAGGTTCGATGAAGACGATATGAATGTATTTCGCAAGTTGCTTAAGCATTCTTCACCAAAAGTGTTGACAGCAGTACATGCAGGACTCGGTCGCGTTCTACAGAATACTTCATTATTATATGAAATGCTTGATTCTGATTATATTCAGTGTTATCAAGCACTGATCGAATCGACGGCATATTCACTTACATACAATGTCCGACAGAGTAGTGCTGAAACTGTAGCAGCGTTCATTGAAGAACATTCGAATCTTCTACCAATCTTTTTAGTCAATTTATACAATAGCATTCGTCACTTTACGAATAAAGTAATTCATATTAGAACAGTAGATTTTTATTTAGCTTATGGATATCCTCAATACGTAGAAGCTGCAGGCTTAATAGCTGTGCGAATACCAGCAGCATTTTGTGCTTATGTAAAAGATTGGCAAGATGGAGATAACTTGAAACGTGCATTGTTCTATACTAGTAAACAACATATTTTTTCACAACGTGCTGCTTGCCTAACTATTCTATCGATATTTGGTGAATTAACAGTAGAACTATGTGAAATGTTTATTGAAGCTTTACGCGATGATCCACATATGCAAAATACTTGTTATAAATGCTTGGCACGTATTAATTGTATTAAAGACGAGAAAACCGTCCAAAATATGTTATTCTTCTATTTGAAATCAAAATCAATGAACGTTAGATATGTTACAGCTAAAATTCTTCTGCATCTTTCAAAATCTGCTCTAATTCCATTGAATCAAGTTCAAACAGCATTGAAAAATCTTATATTAGATCCGAGTTCAAACGAGAATCTTTGGCTGATTAAAGATCAGAACGATGTCTTGGCACAGTGTATGTATTATTATGCTGGATCATTGAAAGATGTTGTTTATTCTCTTCTTGTTCAACATTTGACTGGACACGCGAATGAAACTATTCGAAGAAATGAATTAAATGATATTGCAACAAGTTTTGCTGAATCTGAACAAGCAGCTCGTTTTGCTTCATGTCTTTATGAAGCAAAAACAGAAGAAAATCTACGATTAGAGCAACCTTCAAAAAGGGAGAAGTTGGTTAACTGATGATCATGAAGATTCAACATCGCAATATTTCTTTCTTATAGACAAAATTTTGGTTCAGAAACAAAGAAAAAAAGAGTTAGAATTCTCATTTCCTTTTTGTCTTGGTAAAAACAAAAATAAAACATTTTTCTTATCATGAAACACTTTGTAAAATGGTATACGGAACGACATTCAGTTTTGTAATGAAAAATCAATAAAAGACAATTAATGATAACTAATGTGACTAGAATAAAAAGGTTTTCAGTAGATTATTGTCATATAATGCATGTTTTCATACAACAAAATCGCATAGATCAAATAACATTGACAGGATAATGCAATATACTTTTTATGAAAGATATATTACGGTCGTGAACAAAAGTCTCACAGTTAGGAGAAATCTTTCCATAAAAGAGTTGTCTACCTTGAAGCTTTTATTATAAGCAGAATTTCATGAACACTGATCCCAAACATCAGCTTGAGCTTTATCTCTTTAGCAAGTCTCAGATTAAAGGTCAACATTTAAACCGTCTTTATGTTGCATTATATCATGCTGCAGACGATATCTTGAGAGATTCCATCCATTATTAAGAACCCAGCTCTTCTTCTCTTTTTAGTAAAAATCCTCATTGCAAACGAAAAATCCTTCCCAAAGTTATGAATCAATGCTTATCTGTCCACTGAACTGAAATATTAATAGTTCATCATCTACGAAGTTTATTACCAGGGTTTATATTTCATTTTTGTCAGTTAAGATTTATCTTTATGTAACAGCAAAACTATCTCAACAATGAAGAATATTGTTCTCAATAATCAATTCAAAATTGATCAAATATTATATAGTGAATAGAATAAGCATGTCAGATAAATTTGAGTAGTCTAATTGTTTTACCATCATCTACTTATCACTCTTCATTTTTTAAGAATCGATCACATATCTAACGAAGCATTTGAGAATATTACAGAATTATACAATGTTTTGAATTATAAGATTGTCTACTATCACATTAAAATAATACATTTTATATCAATGATGAAATATATTTTATTCAATATTGCTCAAAAATACCATAAAAAACGAAATAATCTTTGTAAGAATTTTCTTCAAAACAGTATGTGTTGCTTTAAAAGGATCTGTTCTATTGAGAAAAAAATACTTGTTAAAAAACTTTAACAAATAGATACTAAAGATTGACTATAATGCCATAATGACGAGCGAGAGAAAGTAAAACAACTCTAAAGAGACAATCGAACTAGGCCATGCGATTGACCGCAATACGGTTTATTGCCAATCAGAGTCAACATATATGCATTGTGTTTTCTTTCAAATCTTTCGTCGAGAGAAAATAATTGGTCGATATGTCTAACAGTCACTCATTCTTGTCAGATTGTTATTGAGTCATATATATATAAATAAGTTCAGATATCATCCATCTTACCAAACATTACTTAGAACACGATGCAAACAACCACTTCAAAGATGGCCAATGTTGCAAAAACAAAAGCGAAGGGTGTGGGTGTGACTGTTTTCTCAATTTGAACACATCTCTATACTCACACCCACACCCACAAAAAAGTATGCTTTTTCATTTCTATTTAGTAATTCTACTATGAGAAACTATTTCTTTTGATATTTCGGAAAGCCAAATTAGTTTAATTAATCTTCCGATGAAATAAATTTTTGTATGTCAACAGATACAGTATTCCTCAGATTAAAAAAGTTAACCTCATGCATAAGTCTTTACAATGTTAACAATTACAAAATGATCTGAGATATTTATCGCTTAGCCGATCAAATAGTACTGGACGCAAACAGTCGTATTCGATCAAGTTATACTATCATACGACACTCTAATTACATCAAGTCATCAAATTCTATTCAAATCTTGTTTAGATTTAAACACTATGTAATGATATAAAACCGATAGTTTTTCTTCTGATCCATTTTGAACTATCAAATTCATCAGATTCAAATATCTCTGTCAATTATCTCATCATTCTTCTCTCTCAATATGGATGTGAGTGTGAGTGAGAAATAAAAATGTTCTCTTCACCATCAAACTCACATTGGCATCCATTTCAAAATAAGGAATAAAGAAAGATTTTTTCAGAGTTGGGTAAATAGATAAACAGTTGATATAACAGGAGGATATATTGATTACAGCTTTTTCTTACCAACAGCAATGTTTCCCTATGAAATTGTACTAACAAATGAAGATGAGATGTGATGATGATCAAATTTTACGTTTTCCTTAGCAATATATTTTAAATTATTATTTATTTTGGTATATATAAAGTAGCACGCTGAATGTAATAATTGTGGTGTTGGTGAGCGGACATTGAATGTGAAGATATTTAAAGTATGCTTCACCCTCTGTCACCAATCATGTTATAGGAATAAAATGACAACATTATTGTTAAAATGAATTAACTTCTGCTTTAATGAAAAAGAAGTTTTTCATTTTGTTCTTGTGTAATTGATGATTTTGATCACTATCTTATGTACTAGAGCATCAGTTAAACCAAGCTCATGGAACTTGTTATTATTCAGTACAATCTGATATCTTACGAGAATAGCGACGAGAAGCGGAAGAAAAAATTGTAAATTCGTCTCTTTTGTCAAGAGTTTTTATCTTGTTGATCAACTGTGATTAAAATAGAAAACAACGGCATTTTTCAAATCATCTAGCAATTGACTACTACACCAGATGTTGTGTCTACGGTTTTGGATCCTAGAATGCACTTCAGATATTCATTTAACATATATATCCTTTATATAATGAAAATAAAAAGTAATTTGATGTCAACGTATTCTTTTTATTCAAAAAAAGCTTTTTTCAAGTTTAAATTTCTTTTCGAGTCCAGAAAAATTTCACCGATCGGATTCAGGTCCAAAACGTTTTGCATCCGATAACCTCTACTGTACACACTATATATGGACCAATCTGTTTATACATATAGACGGGAACCAGACGGACGCGATGAAAGAACGAAAAAAATAGATGTCGAGGGGCTGAGGGCCAAGAGAAAAGAGAGGGAAGACAGAGGGAGAAAAAGAGAAAGGGGTAAGGCGAAGAGAGAAAAAGAGAAAGGGGTGAGACGGAGAGAGAAAAAGAGAAAGGGGTGAGACGGAGAGAGAAAAAGAGAAAGGGGTGAGACGGAGAGAGAAAAAGGGAAAGGGGTGAGACGGAGAGAGAAAAAGAGAGGGGTTAAAGTTTTGTTTTCTTCGCATTAAAATCAGGAAAGCTCGAAGGTCAAACTACTGTTTTGTTTGTTCGTGATTAATCTTTGCTAAGACGGACGTATACTTTTGTGTTCTGTTCGTCCGTTTTCGATAGAAAGGGTCTAATTAATCCTTTTTTTCTACCATTCGTTGTGCTTGATATTTTATGTTTACAAATTGGGTATATTCACTTTTATTCTATATATAATATACTCTTTATAACGAATCTTCAGACAAAATAAAAAGGAGATTTATTGTTATTCACTTCTACTCATCAAACTGATAGTTGATTAGGGTAAGCTTTTCAACTTTCGTGTTCAAACGAAATTCTTGAAAGTTTTTATACAATATTAGATACAATATGACTCGTAAATTAAAAACGAAATTGTTAAAGATGGTCTGTAAACGCTCAGAATTAACACGTGCTCGCTTTCGTGGTTCATCATGGACAAGTAAAAGTGGTAAAACAGATAAATCATTATTCGTAAATAAAACTGGAGAACAATTTCGGTTAAAACTAGCAAAGCTAAGTGTCGGAAAAACATGGTCATCAATTCAGAAAGTATGTATTATCGAAAAATATATTTTACATCTGATAATTCTTTTAAGAAATGATTTTTATTCAATTTCTCAAAAAAGGAATGGATCATTATCAAACAAGTTCAACTATCCAAACAACGCGAACAATGTTTATGCGGACGACCAAATTTGAAGTTCGTTATATATTTAAAAAATAAGATAAATAAGAAGGAAATCATATCGGGTAATTGCTGTATATTAACATTAAAACGATAAATGTACAACAAAAAAGATTCAGATGGCTGTTTTTCAGTGTTTTGTAGTGTTACTTTAAAAAACTGTAAAAATGCCCTTTAGGCTTTGCCCTGTGAGCATTTGAAAAAAAATTTTGTACATTACAAATAAACATAATCGTTTTCACTAATAACTTTCTCTACTTACTACTTGGGTAGTGACAAAATGGTGGCTCATTGGAATTATCATTCTTATGATAATCAATTGCTAGTGGTGTTGCATATATAGTGCTATGATTATCACTGTCTGTGGGCTTATCGTCACCCATATCTTCATCTTTTTAATCAACAATATTGTCCTGATTTTCATCTTCAATATCCATATTTATTTCCAGCTGAGCAAATATTTTCCTAATCAATTCACGAAATTGATCGATGAAGTACAAGGGCTGCTGAAGAAAAGTATACTTGAATCTGTCATCGGCACTGATAAGTACCAATTGAGTATTTTCTGTTAGCGTCACCCTCATTAGAACATTGGTCATGATAATCACGGCCATCCAAACTCTCAAGGCGAATCTAGATATGAATTTTCATTTTATTCTCGACTTCACCGGCATCACACATTCACGAGGGAACATATCCAACTGATTCCGAGCTTTCGGCTTCATCTTTTGGCTACAGGTAGGCCTCAGTGAGGCTAAGAAAACCCTAGAAGCGTTCGTTCCCATGGAGTATTAGTGAAGAGTTATGGCCGTTTTAGTGGATTTTTTTACTCGGGACAGGATATTTCCAAAAACCTTAAAACAAATAATTTTGACCTGAAATTTTACCCATAGATAGATCTATTAGTTATTAGAAAATCCTGAAAATTTTAAAGAAAATGAACATGCCTTTCTCGAGTTATTCATTTTTCAAAACAAACAGCCTCTTATTACAGGAGGACCAAATTGCCAAGTTCATTGGAAATTAAATATTTCCAGAAAGGCACGTTCATTTTCTTTGAAACTTTCAGGATTTTCTAATAACTAATAGATCTATCTATGGGTAAAATTTCAGGTCAAAATTATTTGTTTTAAGGTTTTTGGAACTACCCTGTCCCGAGTAAAAAATCCAGTAAAACGGCCATACCTCTTCACTAATACTCCATGGGAACGAACGCTTCTAGGGTTTTCTTAGTCTCACTGAGGCCTACCTGTAGCCAAAAGATGAAGCCGAAAGCTGGGAATCAGTTGGATATGTTCCCTCGTCAGATTCAACAACAATTTTATCAGTCAATTCAAATTTTTATTTTTCAAATGCAGATTAACTCAAACGAGATTATTCTCATACTTCTCTGGACCTACTACTCAACGATAGCGCCAGCAGAGTCGTCATTGAGTATAAATGAACAGTGGTTGCGTTCAGTTAGTAGACAAATAGAAAAGCCGAAACAGCCACCGAGTTTGTCATAACAGTCTTTCCATTAATTGCCAATCGACGGACGTTTTTGCAAGTCACATTCTCACTTCTCGTGTGACAGAAATTTCCCATGAAGTTTGACATAATAGTACGTAGCATGAATTGAACTGTAAGTGAACACACCATTACATGTTGAATGTGACACTTCAAAAGGTTGATTTATCGCGACCTTGCTCTGAAATTTTCAATCGTTGTTAAATTGCATGCAACTTCGACCTAGTGGACAATTCAATTAATAGGTCTTCGTGTACAAATCAAGTATAGAAACGGATACAAGATTGTTTGTCATGAAAAGTACGAAGAAAATTGTCATTTTAGACTCCATATGCTGGCCAATAAAATTTCAATTTGCTGCGAAACAATGGATAGAGTTATGAGTAGTAGAAGAAAGATTTATATAATCCTATCTATAACGATTCTATTCGCTATTCATGAGTCCAAAGAGTATACAAAATTCTCATCTTGTTTTTGATTTCATTTTAAGACACAATAATCTATCTACCGAAAATTAGTGAAAGTGATAATTCAAGATAAAATGAATATTACAGTCACATGTTACATTCCTTGACTCATTTCGTTCTTATCAATATTTATTTATTCAACTCGCATTCCTTGATGCTTTATTTTTTTCTCTTATAATACTCTCTCTTCTCTCTCGCTGGAGTCAAATTATTATTAATAAAAAACGAACATCAAGAAGGAAAAAGGGATCTTCTAATATTTGGTGCCGTGACCGGCTTTCTTTATGCGTTTTGCCGAAAGAAAGTGAACCATTCTGTTCATTCGTTTACATTATTATCGTCGTTCTCGACTTCTAATCAGTGCAACATCAGAAATCGACATAAATATGCTGCAATCTATCGATCAATCTGATACTTTCTGCTTCGACTGTGTTTATATGCACAATTATAGAATTAACCCATGTTCGCACACCATTTGTGCCGCCTGTTTACACGCGACAGTTTCCGAAAAGATTCGACTACAACAAGAAACATTTATTTACCCCCGATGTGCTGATTTGGAAGAGCGTCGAAATTGTCTTAAACAAAATGTCGCACTATACCGTCAACCAGAAAGTGCTGATCTTGAACTATTCGAATCAGAGGAGCATCGTTATGATGATGACCCGATGTAGCCCGCTATCGTACCCATAGATCATGCCGAATCGAGTTTACCATGGCCAGAAGGAACTGAATCTATGCATTTTCACGAAATAAAACCCTAACGAGAATTATTCATCGATCAAGGTCACCTAGAGAAGTTACCAATTCAACAGCATGCCACGGATGAAGAAGAATGGGATAGACTCGACCAACAACTTAACCTTGAACGAGAAAGCTCATGTATTGAACCATTTCTGTTTGCAGTCGACTTCAATATCTCAGCCGAATCTGATTTATTTTGGCCTAATGGAACAGAATTGTGGCGCATTCATGATGTAAAACCTCAACGACAATCAATAGTCGATAAATATGGTTCCGCACACTTTTGCGTCTCACAGTCAATCGAAGTAGAGCACGAACGTGCCGATCTTAAACAACTACTCGAATATGAAAAAAATGGTTTCTGTGATCGGGAACCACAGATGTCACTGCATCCGACAATCAACATTCAGCGCTTGAACTTGCATTCAAACCAAACAGCCGCTGTGAATCGAAACGCAAAGTTTAACGAAACCTGTTATTGTTATCGCGTGTTCATCATCAACAAGCACGATCTAAATATCGCATCTGTAATCGGTCGATAAACTTAAATCACATGTCGTCACTTCTGTCACGTAATTCCTCAAGTAAGACAAAAATACGGCCGACACTGGTTTCAACAACAAAATCGAATCATTACAGTAACAGCATACAACCCAGTCCCTTAACACAATTACTGCATCTTACGGACAAATATTTGCATTATCTTTTGATATTTTTATTATTGATACTAATCCGAACCGAATACATGTATACTTCGACGAACAGCGCCTTAAAATCTGTTGCCAGACGAACTATTGGTTCCGAATTATTTGCCAGCGGTAAATTATCAGTTATTGACGCTCAACAACATCTCGGTGACTCAACAGCGTTCGTTAAAATCATAGAAGTACTTCGCAACCTTGAATCACTTTTGATATATGACATTACGTAACTCAATGATACTATTTCAAACGTGTTATTCGAACATTTGGCATTAGGTATCAAATCGGTAATTATTTTTATGACTATATCGAAGAACGAAACACACTTAAGCTATATATAAAAGCATTCTCCATTCATTTTCATCCTGTCGTGTCAAATTTATATCATTCACAATCGAAGATTTTTTAAAAATATAATCAATAACGTTGATTTTCAACACAAATTCTCTCCACTGAATCATTTTTCTTTCGTCTCTCAAATGAAATTCGTCGTGCGAACGGTGTTTAAACACTGATCGCAAGATAGTTTCGTAGACAGCAAAAGAGCTCGTAAAGCTGAGTCATCATGAAAATCGCATTCATTATTTCTTTTTGTTCTGTTTTTCATAATACCATTATACTATCGTTTTGTGTCTTCATTTTATTATTATTCTCTTCATATCTGCATTCTTACAATTGCTTTTCTCTCTTTTTCATTTCTTATTATTGTATCTTTTAATGTGTGTGGACCCACATTTCTGTTGGTGGTAAGATATGTTACAGTTACATGTTATATTCCTTGACTCATTTCGTTCTTATCGATATTTGTTTATTCAACTCGCATTCCTTGATGCTTTATTTTTTCTTGCTGGAGTCAAATTATTTTTAATAAAAAACGAACATCAAGAAGGACAAATGGATCTTCTAATAATGAGTGAAACACAGTGGTTTGCGACACTAGCTGCAGCAGATGAAAGGCGCTGCATGATAAGATGGAGCAACACACATCCCAACGTCTAGTGACAAACAAACTTCGGCCACTGTTTTCAAAGGTCCTGGATGGGTGTCCTCATAACCACTAGCGTACCAAGCATATTGAATCACCCGACGAAAAGTTTCGTATGAAAATTGATTGTGATTCAGAGACGTGAGACGGATGATATTATTGCGCTTGCTCATGTTGACATCAAGTTCATCAAGGATTACATGATCATAGACTCGACGAAGAATCACTTTCAATTACTTGTTAAAAGAGACATCCAACAGTTGAATTTCAGCCGTTGTTTTCTTCTGTATCTGAAGCCTTGTGCATCCTGAGATATGATCATATAATTCTTTTTCATTCGTCTGTCCTTCCTAACAATCCGAGATGAGTAGAAACTTTTCCGCTGCTCAAGTGATGGAAGAAGAACGTGATCATGCCAATATTCAACTAAGGACGTCGTGAGCTTTCCAGAACTGCTGCAAGTGACGATCACGTTCGAGATCTTGAAAAGGTACGATCGAGTGTGATGATAGGCTGCTCTGTATAGCTGTGAGTGTTGACGTTTGTAGAGCGAACAGAGGCAACAGTTATTTTCTCACCTTTGAAGGTCAATGTCCGAGTGGAGTGTAGTTTGACTTCGATTCCACGTTGATCGGTGTTCATAACCTCGCTCGCTTCATATTTCGGTAAACGTTTGCGAACATCAGCCACGAAGTGACCGGGCGAACCTTGAATTGTCTCTTGATTTTGTATTTCGTGTTTTGTTATAATCTATGAAAAACCGATATTGTTTGCAAGTTTAATCGCAAAATATTATCCAAGAAATTAAAGCTTCGTGTCAAACATATATGTGTAGAACTCGGTAAATGGTTATCAGAAACAAGAGCATATTACATATGTTTCTGAGGACTAATCATGAATCTCCTTGCCTTCGTCAACTTGTGCGACATAATATTGTGCTTATGTTTGAACGTGTGAAGCCAATGGGTTGACGCCACGAAATCGTGTAAAGATTCATCTATAGCTCTCTTCAACGCCCATCGGCGAACATCAATACCATGCACGAGAAGAGCATTCCCATGAGCCCGCTCGAACATATCAAATAAATAGTCATCAACCTTGTCAATTTTCTGCTTCTTTGTACCATATCTCGCGAGATACCGACGAACACGAGTGACGTAGGTTTGATGCAGGATGTGGCAGAAGTTATATTTCGCTGTCAACCACCGCCGCTTTCGTTGGCCAGTTTTCGGGTTGACTTCATCATAGAAATTGACTGCTCGAGTCATGTATTCAAGTGAAAATTTGTTACGTTATACTTTGTCCTCGTCTTCTTCTTCACCACAATATTCAAGATCAATTGATTCTTCGGTTTCATCATTTTCGTTCTCTATACCTCAGTGACTAACTCGCCTTCTTCTGATCCATCATCGAGGACACTTTCAACCTCGAAAATGTGCGAATGACTGTTGATGATCAATTCAAGCACATTGTACAGCAGATCAGCTACTTCACATTCACAGTTTCTAATAGAGGCGGTGGGACCCAATGTGGTCGAAAAAAACGGAGGCAGTAAGTTCGAAGCTCGATCAACGAGCATCTTCATAACGTTCGATAGATTAATCACTTCGGAATAGAGACCAGTAAGACTGAAATCAATTAAATTCTTGCACCTCAGTGATATATTGTAATAAATAAAATGAAAGAAGAACGACTGTATGGCACAAAACATGCACACAAGAGAACAGGATGAGAATGTAACTAGTAGAACATGAAATAAAGAGTGTGAGCGCATACATTCATTACAGAAATGAGGTGATATGCAGATAACGAAAGAGACAAGCAACAGTGCGGATAATGTGTCATTCTCATCCATTCATCAAGGATCATTGTGTTTTAAAATGATATCAAAAACAAGATGAGAATTTCGTGTACTCTTTGGACTCATAAATAACGAATAGAATCGTTATAGATAAGATTATATCTAGCTCTCAAATCAAAACAAATCGGACAAAAAACGCAAAAAAGACTGGAAAAAGCTTCAGTCTTTAATGTTTCACTTTTCTCAAAAGGAGTCATTTGATCGTTTTATTCTCGTTTCCTTATACCATATCTTGAAAATTCAACATCTCAGAAACAAAGACGCAATGGAATGAATCCTTTTTAGCTCTTTCACACCTCATTGAGGTCTATTTTTGGCCAAAAGAAGAAGTATAAACGGCTTCAACACCTGGAGACCTTCCCTGGTAAATAGAATATAATAACCAAGATGATGAATTTATTAATTAAAGGTTATTTGAAGAATAGCTTCAATAAATGTCTTCAGAAATATATTGATTGTGTCTTAGTAACCAAAATCTTGATGAACTCTTTTTCTATAGGATTTTATCTGGCAAAATCACTACTTTTTTTATATTTAGTAAGAATTTCATGTGATATACAACTCAAAAGAATGGAATATTTCCTATCATCTGGTAAAAAATTTTCGTTTCAATACATGTTTACTAAAGAGAAATACGCGTTGACACTTTGTCTTATCATCAAAAATTATATAAAAAGTACGGACTCATTTTAAGGATGGTTCTCTTTTCTGGTATGTCATTTCGTGTTTATAGACGTGTAATAAAGAAATAAGTTATATATGATTCGAAACAGAAAAATAGTTTTCATTCAGTGCTCTTCTCTGCTGAAGAGAAATAAGAGTCAACACTTGCTCTATTTGCTGTCGCATCACACGTCAAATTGATATTTATTGTTATTCTATCACCTTCGAAAAAATATGATGACGTTCACAATAAGTAAAATATTTTTTTTTTGTTCCTTTCCTCTCTTTTCTCTTTTTTCTTTTATTTTGTTACTGTCTTCCCGTTTTTCTACATGTGCTATTAAGGTCTGACCGATATCAGTGATCGCAAAGAAAAAAAAAGTATGATGCTGTTTTTATCTTTTTATTATAATGATAAAGCATTTTTTCTTAGTCTTTTATCAATCTGAAGCGACATGACGAGCGAAACCAAAAAAGACGAAGGATCTCCACAGGAACTTTTCTTTCGTATATCTGGAACAGGTGAAGGACATTGGGAAACTGAAAGACCACAACCAGCAATTATTAAACTTGTTGAACAAGGAATTTTTCATGGAGCAATACTTGATATTGGCTGTGGCATTGGTGATAATGCAATTTATATTGTTACACATACAAACAATGTTAACATGACAGCTATCGATCTAGTAGATTTACAATTATTTTACTTATTTCAATAAAATTAGATTTTGTTTAGGTACCTAAAGCAATTGAAGTTGCTCGTGAAAAAGCTGAAAAAATGAATGTTAATATTCAATTTGAAGTTATTGATATGCTTAGTGATCTTTCAACAACAAATTTAAAACAAAATTCATATGATATTATTCTCGATGCGGCTGTTTTTCATATTTTTTCAAATGATGATCGTCAACGTTATATTAAAAATCTTGAATATTTAATTAAACCTAATGGTTTATATATTCAATATTGTTTTAGCGAAAAAGAAATACGTGAAGGTGGACCACGTCGAATAAAAAAGTCTGATTTAGAAGAATTATTTTCATCAAAAACTGGTTGGACAATTGAATCCATTGAAGATACGATCTATGAATCGACGAGGGCTGGTCCACTAGGATTAGATGGTCGAGCTTATCTATCATTAATTCGACGTAATAAAAATATTTAATATTGAAATATATTTTAATTAAAAAAAAATGATCAGGTTCCATTCATAGTATTTTGTCGACGTCATATTGAAATATCTGATTGAAATTTTGAAATTGCAACGACTGATGATTTCTAAAAAAAATTTAAAAAAAAAATATTTTTTTTCAGAGATTTTGTAATCGAAGTCTTACACATATAAATTCATTATTTGTATCTTGATTATTTAAATGTTCGAAATACTCAGTACTTGTTGATATATCTTCTTTGTTTCTTGCTGATTCTTGTTGAAAATCTTTATAAAAAAAAATCCATCAAATGCTTTGAAACAAGTCGATTCAATATCATACAATCATATTGTATTTTTTGCAAATTTGATTGCTTATTCCTATAATAAAATTAAAATCAATTTAAATTTTTGAAAATAAGAATGTTTTTTCTTATTAATCATGCAAATTATTATGAAACTCCTACCGAATGATATCTTCGAAATTATCTTTAAAATTAAAAAATTAAATAAAAAAAAAAATTTTTGTTTTTTTTGTTCGATTTAATTTCCTTACTGAATTTCTTGTTGAGATTCATCTGTTGTATGATTTGTCATTTTAATCCATGAAGGATATTTATTTGATGATTGTTCATCTGTATCTGTTTCGAGTTCGAAAAAAAAATGGATTAGTTTTTCTTTTTGTTGAATAATTTTTACCTAATAAATCTTGTTCATTAACTTGATTCGATGCATCTGAACGTGGAACATTTCTTTTTTTAATAACTAATCGAACAATAGTTGCTTTTTCAACTTGAATAGATGAAGAATTAACATTACGTCGAAGTTCATTAGCAAGTGATAGATAACCAGAATTTTCAGCTAAATCAGCAGCAGTTAATTGTTCAAAATTAACAGATGTTAATGAACAATAGCCACGTTCGATTAATATAAAACAGACATTTCGATGACCATGTTTTGCTGCCTAAGTTTCAAAATAAAATCATTAAATGTCAAACATATTGACATATTTATCATATTAACATTAAACAGAAAAGTTTTTCTTTTTTAATTCGTATCACTAATAAAAAGATTATTTCGAGTCATACAAAACAAAACAATTAATAACATGTTATTTTCTCATTTGCATACAAAGTTTGATTTTGAAAGTTTGTCTGTAAATTCATGTTCTCAATCCTGTCGGATCTAATGAACTTTAAGGCATATCAATCAGATATTATTTAGAAAATGAAAAATGTTTGCAAATAAGATAAGTTTTACTATGTGAGAATAAAATTATAAAACAATCCGAAAGAAATTTTCTACAGCATTCAATTGCTGCCTTTGTATAATATAATTAAATTTTACTCGATCTAAAAAGTTTTATTTATAAATTTTGTGAATAAATTCTTACTAACCAGATGTAATGGAGTATTTCCATTATTATTTGAAATAATTTTAGCATTTTTTTCTAATAAATAATTAACAATATGTTCATTTCCATTTATAGCAGCATAATGTATTGATGTATTATTCATATAATCGACATCATTTATTTTTGCATTTTGTTTTTCTATTAACCATTGAACAATATCAAGATGATTATTTTGACAAGCTAAATAGTTTCAAAAAACAAAATAAAGGCAAAGAATAACAAAAATAAAACAAAAAATTCTTTTGTTTTTACCAATATGTAAACAATTTAAACCATTTTGATTTTTTAATTGTAAATTTGCTCCATATGATATTAATATTTGAATAGTTTCTAATGAACCAGCTTCAGAAGCAAGATGAAGTGGAGTTAATAATTGATTTGTTTGTTGATTAACTGTATATGGTGATTTTGATAGTAATAATTTAACACATTGAGTATGACCATGTTGAGAAGCATAATGAATCGGCTGAAAACCATTATAAGTTCGATAATGAGGATCAGCAAATTCTTCTTCAAGTAAATAATGAATAACATTTAATGAATTATAATAAGCAGCTAAAGAATATACAAATAATTAGTTTTCAAAAAATAAGAATATTTTTTTTTACCCAGATGTAATGGTGTATTTCCTTGTTTATCTCGAATAGTCCAAAGGATTTTTTCGGAAAAATTTCTTTTATAATAATTAAATATGTATTTGAGAATTTCTATTTGATTACAAACAGCTGCATCATGGACACATGTTGCACCATGTTCTGTATATAATTGACTTATATCAATATGTTTTATTTCAAGAAAATATTTCAATATATTTAAATGTCCATATCTTGATGCATAATGAATAAGTGTAGCTTGATTTTCATCACGTATTGAACAGATTTTTGATGAAGAAATAGAATTTAAATGTGCTTCAATTGTTTGTAAATCTCCTCGTTCACATGCAGTAAAGAGAAACAAATTTTCAATGATTGATGAACATATGAGCGTTTGTGATAAAGCCATGCAAAAGAGAATTTTTACATTTTCTGTTAATCAAAAAAAAAACAACAAGAATTCTTATTGATGGTCGAGAGAACGAGAAGAACAAGTTCATGATTTTCAAGATTGCTGGAAGAAAAATATAATAAAGAGAACTGAAGAATACCAAGGACGCATAATTAATAACTCATCTTAACGTCATTTCCAAGAACACATCCATTATATACGCAAGTCGATAGAGGACTCTCATTTTTTTAGAAAAATTTACAGTTATAACGAGTCACTTCATGCATTCTTTTCTTCCTTTCTTAGTCTTTATCATTATGATGATAATATTTGAATTTTTTATCAACATACAAAAACACTGATGAATAGATATGAATAAGTAATATGAGCAACTTTTATAATTCAAGATATAAATTGATCATGACATAATTCAAGATAGAATTGTATAAACCAGTTTTTCAAATTTTACTAAATATTGTTTTATTATCAAAGTCGGCTTGAAAGAAGCCCTTCTATTAACAAGAGAGACCTCTAGAGAAACATTTGTTTCGGTTTTTTTCTTTAGGAAAATGTTGTTTGCATAGCTCAAAGAAAAAAATTCTTGTCTAGAATTCAGGTCAAAATTATTGACGTAATGTCTTAGAAGAAGAAATATCATATTTTAGCTCAAATATTCGTATAAAATTTTGTGACATTTACATCATAGTCAATTAATCTTATCTGCTATATCAATATAAACCAGTTGTGTATATGTGGTTGTCCAGTGTGAATCTTCTTTCCAGCCACAACACGACTAAAATCTAAACTCGTCACTGTGCTAAATTAACATTGTTAGATTGATAAAAACGTGCTTGTTTTTATAGATCAGTACTGTTTCTTTCAATGCACATTTGTTATATTGAGAATGATATTATTATTGAATAATAAAATTATGACTATTTTCTTGTATTTGATATTGAAGCAACACATGATGAAGAAAAAAAAATTCATTCATTTGAAATTATTGAATTTTTTGTTTTAAAACTAAATCCTCATACATTTCAATGCGAACTAAATATAAAATTTATTCTTGTTACTTGTGGTGATTGGGATTTATATATAATGTTATCTAGTCAATATAATTATTTTGAATGATCACGTGCTGAAGGATTAATATTAACAATTCATTTAATGAAGTTATTCGACTATATGCATGTGATGGAGACGTTAAATTATCTCAATATTTCAGTCCGCAGGAAGACGTCATAATGATATTGATGATTGTAAAAATATTGCAGACATTTTAAAATGATTAGCGGAATATGGATATATTGTTGAAGTTATTTTAGACTTCGTCCATTGTAAGCAATAACTAGATTTAATATTTTATGTTCGACGAAACGAATAGAATTGTTTATTTATGACAATTTTACAAAAGTTTGATGCAGAAGAATCTGAAACAATGGTTTTTTTTTTTTATTTGGAATTTTACTGAAAAGCCGCTAGCTAAAATAAATGATCTTCATGTTGCACGCTTGTTCGCATTACCGCTGGTATATGATATTGAGTGTTAGTCTCGGTCTGTATGTCTTTTGCATTATACTCATATGCACACTCACACTCACCTTTGTTTGCTCGAAAGTTTTCCAAAGCGATTGACCATCATTTATTGCATAAATCCTCAATTTACTCTTGTCCACCGAAAGAAAAGCCACTACATTTTTTTTCTAATATATTGTAACTGCAAAATCATATGAAAGCAATCATGTCTAATTTTTCCTTACCTTGAGGGGTGAAAATTTTCTTTTTATCGATTTTTTTGCTGCCAAAGTTTCATTGTAAATTGACATCTTATAAACGCTTGAAGAAATACAAGATAATTGTGACTGAGGATTTATCAACTTCTTAGTTGAAAAAATCTTACAAGATCTTTCTCACAATCGGATGTCGCAAGATTAATAGTATGTGATCTTACGAAATCCTACAAATATCTTACTGTAAGGTTTAATATTTATCTGGCTATAAGATGTTACTGTGAATCTTACTTGATTTCAGTGTTGCCACCTCTTCTGCTTTTTTTCTTCCCTTTCTGCTTTTCCATTATTTTCCTGCTTTTTTCGATCGAATTATTTATAAATACTTGTCAATATTCTTAGAATTGGCTAATTTTATTCTTTGAAAATATTAGGGAAATTTCCAATAAACATTCATTAATATTGTTTTCCCCCTCTTTTTGGTTAACTGAGGACAATATATTTTTCTGCTCGTAACGAAACATACTTTCGCAATATTGATTTTCGTTTCTACTTTCATCTATACTTGCCATATGACCTTTATGGTGCTAAAATTCTATTCCGCAAAGCAGAGATGGAATCAGTATCAGTTACTGACCGGTTTCTAGTCTATTTCGTTGACTATCCTTCTTGCATTATACACTTATTCAAAATTTCTATACATCTCAATAGTATATCGTAGAGGACGTGTATTGAGATGTTGTTGGAAGTTGACCACATACCTTAACTAGAAATGGAATCGGTATCGGTACAGATTTCAGACCGATCAGTCTGCCTGTAGACACGCCGTTAACTGCTGAACCGGTTCCATCTCTGCCATAAAGCAATCTAACGCTCTGATATACGCCAGCAATCGTTTACACACACTATTTCGTCGATTTTGCAGCTTTATAAATTAATTTTAAAACGATTTAAGCGACTATCATAACAATCAGCGATATTTTTAACGACTAGACTTCATATTTTAATATCACTGTGTTAAAATCTTTTTGTCTAAAGACAATAATTTAATTTTCGTGATTATTTAAGCAGGCAAAGCGTTCATTAAATAACTCGAAATCACACTCCATTTTTCCTTGGTTTCGAAGTTTTTTTAATTTTTTCGTTATCCATTGCAAATGAAAATTAATTATATTCAATCGATGAAGCAAGTACTCTTGCAACTGCTTTTGAATAAGCCCTGATTTTTCACATGATATCATGAATGACCACTAGATAAACAAAAAGTCTAAGTTCTTTTTGTTCATGTTCGGATAAATGATAATGATGCAACATGAAGTTAGAAATTGAAATTTAATCATTACAAGTATGTTCGATAATTGTTATAGTCATTTACTGTACTATTTATACTTGGTTTGATAGGTTCTTTAATTGACGAACAGATACCTATAAAATGCTATTCAATATCATCATATCCATGGGACGTAAATCAAGTCATAGTTAGTATCTAAATCCACGAAAGCAGAAGAAAAGTACCTAATCGAGAGGGGATCCATCGAAGAATTCTGCTCATCTGTTTTAGTTGTCCTAAATTATTGGATTCTGCACAAGTACACAAAAAATGAGTAATGTTAAGTGACATGGCTAGTCCAAAATGTTCGCAATATCCGTCAGGTCTAGTTTTAAACGTCCTTCATACCTGTCATGGTTAGCTGTCTTGACAAGACATGTCTGTCAATCACGCCTAGATTAGTTCAGAACGTTATTCAATCCCGTGGTGTCTAGTCCGTTTATCTGTCTCACCCGTTCAGACTAGTTCGCAAAAAAAGAAAGAAAAAAGACGTCGAAGGATGAATTCGAACACTTTATCTGATTCTATTCAACACCACACGGATGTCATGATGTCAGGCTACGGTTTACCAATCGGCTAACGTCAGTTTGAATACCACGGATAGAAAAAAAGGTGTTCTTCCATTTCCTAAACAATGAAAAACTGACCGACAACAAGTGACTTGACTAGCCTGAAACGTCTTCAACGTCACTCAGAACTAGTCTAAAGCGTTTGCTGCAACCATCATGACTAATCTAGTTTTTAGAATGTATCGTCTCTAATGATCGGAGCCTTATGATATTTCTTGACTATTCATGCATCTTATACTTGATTTTCCAACAGATTGCTTTAGACAGATCAATAATAAAAGCAAAAAGAATGTAGTGCAAGAAACATTTTTCAATACTCATATCATCTATTGCTAATAAATGGTAGGTAATCAGTAGTATCCTGTGGGAACAATTTTTCTTGATTATTGTTTCTGTTCCTACGATTTAATTTTCTGTTTCCGTTCCCATTTTCATAAAAGAATTGTTTGTTCTTGTTCCCGTAATGTTTTCAGAGGCCCTATTACTAATTCATTGATTATTGTTCCTGTTCCTACGATTTAATTTTCTGTTTCCGTTCCCATTTTCATAAAAGAATTGTTTGTTCTCGTTCCCGTAATGTTTTCAGAGGCCCTATTACTAATTCATTTTTTGCATTTGAAAGAAAAATTTTGACCATCACAAACTAACTTTTGTCAACGTCGTATTTAGTACCATGCGCGATGGCTTTCAATTAAAGATAAAATTATCGTTGAGGGTATATGTTAGCAAAATAAAGGAATAATTATTTATCCGTCAGAATTTATCAATACTAAGTTAAAAGAATTGTTTTCTTCATCAACTGAGTAATTGAAAAAAGTAAAAAAGCTGTTAGTACAATCTCTGTGGGATGAAAATGATGTGAAACATAATGAATTGTCGTTGCTAATATGTATGAAACTTTATCATGATGATGTCGAGGAAGCGTTCTAAGAAACACCTTAATGTCAAAAGAATAAGTGTTCTGCTTTTTTTTCTACATTTCAGAGTAGAATTTCTGCCATTTTCATGTTTTTTCGAAATTATATTCTACTTTCTGAACACTAAAAGGTGGCAGTAATGAATTGAAAAAAACATATTGTGTGTAGTGGTGTTGATCTGCCAAAACAAATCACTCAACGGATAATTTTATCAATTTGTTTAAATAGAAGTAGGTTTTCTTTTGTTTGAAGTATTTATTCTGCATTCGAGATTATTTTAGCTATCACATCAATAGAAATAATTGTTTTTCTTTTTTCATGTCTTTAAAACAAACATTTTTAAGAAAACAAGAGATGATAGAAGCCGAGAATAGAAGAAAATCAGATATGCAACGTTGTAAAAAATTTTGGAAAATCGTACATGAGTGGTATGAGATCTGATATTAAGATCGTGAAGAATCGAACAGTATGACTTTATCAGAAATAGTGGCTTTAAGATTGACATATGAAATTGTACAACATCATATTTGACTGTCATACGATCTTGTATGATCATGAAAGATGACTCAGTAAGTTAATATATGATCTTGGAGGAATCATACAAGACTTTATAATAAGATTGTTTGACCTGAATGGAGACGCGCCACCAAAGAAGTGCTGTAAGAGATACCGACTTGTTCCGGTAAAAAATGATGTTTTAGACAAGAAAATCATCTTTTATGGCAAAAATCTCATTTTTAACAGGCATATGGCATCAACTTATAATGATTATCAAATTGCGCATCGGAGTATCAACCTATGCCTTCCGATGTGAAAAAAAGGTTATAGAATAAGATTAAAAATCGACTTTTTATAATCAGTTGTAATGGATTTAATTTTAATAATCTATTAAAATAGATTTAAAAAAAGATTAAATCAAATGAGATCTGTCTTTTAAAGCTGAAAACTCTGATTAAAACAAGACTATAATGGTGTTATTATAATCGATCTTTAATCTTTTTTTTTTTACATGGGATTTTCTGAAGAAATAACTTTTTAACAACGTTCGATTTTTTCAAGTACCTTAATCATACTTTGAGCTATTCTTGACTTCTCTTTCCATCTAATTTTGAGAAAAACACATAGCTTACCGTTGATAGAACTGTAGATTGATCTTTTCCACTGTTCAGATTATACAAAATGTGAATAGATCACCAGTTATCAGTAAAACTTTTTCGATTCCGGCTCCGTCCCCTCTAATTACCTGGTTCCGGGTAAGAGAAGCTGAAAACTTCCGGCACTTTATTTCACTTTTTTTTCGGAACTGTCGAGCTTCAAAAAGAAGAGAGAAAGAAAAGACTCAATTTTTTTTCTATTTAAGTTTTTCAAATCTCGACAAACTTAATGTCAAAAATCTTAATGAAATGATATTAAGAATGATTTTTTTGAAAATTTGTTTTAAATCGTAAGAAGAATATTTGGATATATTTTTATCTGAATTCAATATTTCACGATTAATATCCATAGACTGCATTCTTTTCTCTTACTTACATGTTTAACTTTCACCTTAGAATACAACAGTTTTATGATAGACACATATCTTTTGTAAATATTAATCATCTCGATTAATATAAAAAAAAATAATTTCTCTGGAATTAATTGAAACATCAAAACATATAGGGGTATTTGATATCAATGTCAGCTGCCGTCTGTTATACAAGTACACTTCTCAAATTATGCTACCGTCTGTTTCTTCTAACATATCGCATCATTTTAAGTCACTTGTGATGTTAATATAGAATATAAAAAAAAATGATATAAGTTCGTTTTATTTTTTATGTCGTCTTTTTCTTCTTCTTATCAGGTGCTGTGTGGTGCAACAGCAGTATACTTACGATTACTATTTTTAATGTAATATATCCTTATGATATGGTTGTCTATCATCAGTAAGAAGAAAAAGTTTACATTTTTTTTTATTCGTTCTTTTTTTTATAGTTTTTTTATGATTTAAATGCTGAACTAGTTCACTTTATATATTGTCAGTTCACGTATTTTCTTGATTTCATATTTGATCATAAGTATGAATATTTTTACCATTTGTTGACCATATTGGAATAATTGATTCATATTTTCCACATGCAAAACAAAAACCTTCCCATGCGTCAGATATAATAGGTGTATGACAACCTGAGCATCTCTTATCGATTTCAGTCACACCAGTCCACCATCTATATGTATTGTCTTGTGCTTTTTTGAATCGATCCAGTGCTCGTTCTCGCGTTTGTTTAACTTCCAGATGAGAGCATCGAAATTCGAGTGGGAATTCTCGTATTTTAATTTTATTTAAATCAAAATTAATATTCGAATATTTGCGTATAGTCACGTGAAGATCATTGAATGGTGTTACACTCCAATCATTTGATTTTGTTTGTTGTTCAATTTTTTCCAGTAAAGGTTGAACTTTGTCAAGAGATGCTTTTGTTTCTGATTGATCACGAATAGGAAGTACGACAAAATCGATACGCGCTCGTCCTTTAGAACGGTTTTCACCAGAAATAATTTTAATACTTGATGCTCGAAAGAAAATATCAGGAATATAAGGCATGTCTTGTAAAGAAGGAGTAAATTTACTGAAAACCTCTTCTAACTTATGAGGTGCAAGATCAGTTAAGAATTTAGCAAGCGTTATGTGAAAATAACCATCCCAAATGTCAGGAAGTGTATATCCTAAATTTTTTGATGGTGCTAATAAGCCAAAATAACGATTGAATGCACCTAAACCTTTGAATTCTTGATCTCGTTGATTAATTTTTGCTATGATACCCATTTCAACTGGTTTCAATTGAAGATTGACAGCATAAGCATTGATTTCATCATCACTTGCTCTTTTTTGAAATTCTGGCGGACTCTGATATGTAAATCGTTCAGTATAATTAGTATTTGTTAAAATTTGTTGTTGTGGTTGGTGCCAGTTGTTTTTATTGGTGGGATAATTATAAGATTGTTTTTTGCCTCTATCTTGTCGAGAAGATGAAGTATAATAGTTATTTCCATATCGTGGACGAAAATTGAAATCATTATTATTCTGATTCCATTTGCTGCTGGCCATGTGTTTTTTTTCTATAATGTTTACTATTATGATAAAAAATATATCTTAAATACTTTGATACTCTGGGTTTTTTTTTCTCTTTTCCTGCGTGTAATATGAAAACAGCAAAATTTATTACATGTTGTTGACACACAACAAAAATATCTATGTCTTGTGACCGGTGTCGGTCAAACGTTAATATTTGTGTGTTATATTGTTGAAGAAAACTTTTTATTTTTTATTGACGATACTAATGAATGAAAAAAAAAGGGAGAGAGAAACTGAGAAAGAAATCTCATGCTTCCGCCGTCAACATGTAGATGATTCAAAATAAGATGTATATATTCAATCTTCTTGTGTTTCTTTTATTTTTGTAAATGAGTTTCACTCTTTTTAAAAGTGTTCTCCACCTTTTAACCTTCTTATTTCACAGCAATTGAGTAGCAATCTTTTTATACCTGTTCTTTTCTCTTTTTGTTCTCGTTGATCAACTCTATCTTTCTGTTACCATATAAATTCATGAAACAATAACAAGCTTTTATCGCTGCTTATTTTTCTCTCTTCTTGCAATTTAAAAAAAAATGATCGTATTCATTAAAGCAAAAAAAATGTTGAAGAGCCTTTATGGGCTATTTCACGATCTTACTAAAAGAAATTGAAGAGCAAGAGAAGAAAAGAAAACGAAGAGTAGTGAACATTTTTTTTCGCTTTCTTTGATAAACATAATTTTATTGCATTAAATGCAAATTTTTTTTTTAAATAATTCAATAGCATGAAGTCGAATGGCAAAAAGTTTGTTATAGAGAGCGGATAACAAGATTTGACTCATGTTTAGTACAAAAACAGCAAAGTTTTTTTTTTTAGCCTCGAAATTTTCCTTTTTATAACATATTATCAAAAGTTTCTTTTCTATTTTTATTTACAAAATTGAAATATTTTTAAAAAGCATGACATAGACACGTAGTTAAATGAGAATTTGTTTGTTTAATTAATATATTACAACTGATATTTTCTATGTTTTTGATCTTTGTTTTAGTTTGATTCTATTGAATATTTCTTCAAAGTATGTCATATTCCAATTCAAATAATTCTCGTCGAGATAATTGGAAAGATCGAGGTGGTGATCGATTTCGTCACTCAAGAAATGACAGTCATCCATATCAACGTTATCAAAATAATAATAGTGGTCGCAATTCATTTCTCAATGATGAGGAAAAGAGTTTAGTTTATCAAGGAAAAGATGAACTTTTTCATAAGAAGAAAAATTTTCTAATAGTTACTTCACTTAAAGATAAATCATTATTATTATCTGACAATCTTTTTAAAACTAATCGATGGGATATTGAGGAATTAATTCAATTGAAACAAAAACTTAATGATACACGAAACCGTTTAAATGAAAAAGATATTAAAGTATGGAAACAACATACATCGAAAACAAATATGACAGGACGTATTGTTTGGTCATTGCGAGATCAAAATCGTATTGAAATGTGTACAAATGCATGGATCAAAATGGCTGAAATATTCTCTAAATATGAAAATCTTATTCCTCGAGGTAAACACTGTTTAATAGTACAAACAGGAAAATCAATGCAACTTAGGTAAAACAGATCCTAAAAAAAGGAGAAAAAAATTGATATTCTCTGCTCTTCTGAGTTTTTTCAAATATATCTTATTTTTAATCCAATGATATGCTTAGAATTTTGTCATGTGTTTTTTCTATGGCAAATATATAAGTTAATAATAAATGATTTTAAATACAAACGAAGAACTGAGGAAAAAATTTAAAGAAAAAAACATCTGTAATAAATTATCCTTTGACTTGCACCGGAGAAGACTATTTTGCGATCAGGTAGTCAAAATTTCGCTAACAGTGTGTCAGTACTCAACAAATGGAATCATCGAAATAGACAAAATACCTAATGTATAATTGTTGTTATGCAGTTTTTAATACATAATTGTTATGTATCCAATCCAGGCCCAAGCAAACAGCGCTGTAATCCGTCATACTAGAAAACGAAGGCAATTAATTGGAAAAAACGATGATTGTTTTCTAGCGAAGAAAATTGCTCGTACAACAGTATGACAGATTACGGCGAACCATGGTGAAATAAATGCAGTAAATCGCCGTTTCCGATAGTCGGAATGATCGTACTGAGAATGTTAGACATTGTTAATGATAAAATGAACTCATGAAAGAGAATCCTTCTAATATAATATCAAAAAAGAAAAACTGATAATTGGGCTCGATATATAAAAAATTAATTTTATTGCATTTACAGATTTGCCTGAGGATCAATCATTTAGAACCACGCATGTATGTGAAGCACCAGGTGCTTTTATATGCGCCACTAACTTCTACTATAATCAACGTTTTGAAAGAAAAGGTTTTCGTTCATCTCAACGGCAATGGGAATGGACGGGTCTTTCACTTAATCCTTACTATGAAGGCAATGATCAAGAAGCTATGGTTGATGATGATCGATTTATAATTGAAACATTAGATAGATGGTATTTTGGTATAGATAATAGTGGAAACATTTTAGATAAAAATAATATTAAAGGTTTATGGAAAAGAGTTCGGGTGAGTTCATTGATTAGATATTCACTTCATACATAACAAGATTGATGATTTTCTTTTTCGATTTCAGCAAAATTGGATAACTTTTCAGTTGATTTTTTTGCAGTAAATTTCTTAATATGATGATGTGCTACATTTGGCTATAAACTATAATGCGTTTAAATCATGATAGGAACTAAGTCTAAATTCTATTATTGAAATTCGTCGAAACTTTCTAAGATTCAATTATTGTCGCTTTTCATCAGTTGGATAAAAAAAAATCAATTTGAGACATGCAGGAAACGAAACAAACTTTTTTATTCATTTAAAATTGAATATCCCCTGGCACATATCTCAACTATTGAATGTTATTATTATTATTATTCCAGATTTGAGGATTTCTTTCTCTCATGCCTGATAATTCTTGCTCATAAACATATCAATAAGCAATTTAAAGTTATATTTCAATTTTTAAAATAAGTTCATATCTGAAATAAGAAAGTTTTGTCTAATTTAATGCGACATGAATTAGAAAACGTAATGCTCGCACCAGCATTAAAAAAGTGGATGTAAGCTCAATAACCTAACAACGGTAGTAGCTAGCGATCTGCGATTCTTAGTAATCGAAAGAGGAGATGCCAATTCGATGAATTTTTGATTGTCATATTCATATTAAATAAAGAAATGTCATATCAAAACTTCAATATAAAACACAAATACTCGGCTACTCATTTTCTTATCTACATGAAACTATATAGAGCTTCGGACGCCTTATTATTAGGGCATCCGAAGCTCCATGTAGTTTGATGAAGATGAGCAAACAAGTAGGTGAGTGTTTGAGTTTAAAATAATTGTGTTGACATACGGTTCCATTTGTTTTTAGGAAAGATTTGTATAAATAAGTGTTTAGGATAATTTCGTCGTATACAATATTAAATAGAAAAACAGCCGGTAATCTCTTCTTTCGATTGCTGAAAACTGCAGACCGTAAGCCACTGACGTTGTTGACTTATTGAATTTAAACCCAGTCCTCTTTAATACTGACGTGAACATTAGTAAAAGGTATAAATTATATGAAGATTTGAGGTACTTGTAAAAAATGAAAAAAATATCGACAGCAAGTTTTGCATGTATATATGTTACATGTTTAAAATCGGATCATTTTTTTTAACAATAGATTCTTCGATACATAAATTTTGATTCTTAATTTCTGTTAATGAACAGCATGAATGAAAACTGTTATTTATAATTTCCTAATGCATAGCTCTAATCTTATCTCTCAATAATCTTGATCTAAGGAAGAGCAAAACCACTTACAAAACTTGTCAAAGATAAAACGGTAGCATGTAGTTTTTGAGTAGTAATAGTTATATGTTCCATTTCCTATCATACTTTACTTGCTTATTAATTTTTGTTTCAATTAGTCTGATCCAAAATCAATTGGTGTTCATCTTGTAACAGGTGATGGTTCTGTTGATACATCTGCTGATCCCAATGAACAAGAATCAATTGTATCTGAACTTCATTATGCTGAAGCTATATGTGCTCTAGGAGCTTTAGCAAAAAATGGTTCATTGGTATTAAAAATGTTTAATTTATTTGAATGTGAAACAATTTGTCTTCTTTACATATTGGCTCTTCATTTTAAAGAATTAAGTATTTTTAAACCAGCATCATCACGTGCACCGAATGGTGAAACATATGCTATTGCAGTTGGATTTCGTGGTATTGATTCAGAAGTACTTGATTCGTTACTTTCATTTGTTTCACGTGAATTTCCTCGTGGTAAAGCTCTATTATCACGCGAATCAATTCCTCAATCGTTTCTTGATGCTTTGATTAAAATTGCAGATTATTTTACCATGAAACAAATTCAAGCACTTGAACGTAATCTTGAATTAGAAAAAGTTTGGAATCGAAATATTCAACAAGCTATATTTCAATTAAATCAAGATGTTGTTAAAGAATTTCGACGTCTATGTTTAATTGATTATAATTATCAACAATCCGTACGTATTGTAACTAATGTTGAACTTGATGGATCAGCCAAAGCATTAGGTAATAGTGCTGCAGTTGTTAAAGGTGGATTACGTCAGCGAGCAGGTGGAACACTTGATGATCGACAAAATAGAAAACGTAATCGAGAAGAATTTTTATCTGGCATTAATAATAATGAAGATGTCAATAATGATGAAGGAGAAGAACAAGTAGTAAAGAAGATGAATTTCGGACAAGGAAAGACAGTCATTTTTGGACGAGATACTTTACAGATGCCTACAACAAATGAAACTCTTACTGAAATTGAAATAGATTCATCCATCAGTCAACAACAAGAATCTTCCAGTGAATCAAAAGCTATGAAAATGATGAAAAAAAGCGGTTATGTTGAAGGACAAGGTTTAGGTGTTCACAGTCAAGGACGAGCAACACCAGTAGAATCAATTATGCATGATACACG